CCTATTAACCAGAGAAAAGTCTAAAGGGTCTACTACAATGACTTTGATAATGTTGGTCACCGAATTTAATCTTAATTTGAAATGACTGTCACAGAAAGTTAATGACAGTAAGTAGGTAGATACAGGCACTGCCACCAAAGTCACTGACAGGTTTTATTTGTTTGGTTGGTTTGGTTTGGTTTGGTTTGGTTTATTTTTGTTTTTGTTTGTTTGTTCTGTTCTAAAATCACAGCCTGGTTTATTTCACAAAACACATCCAAAGAGAACAAAGCAGGCTCCAAAGTTCATGCTTCATTGGGATTACCTGCATACTGAACAAATGCAGACAGTAGAGGCACACACCAAATGGACTGGATTGGGGCCAAGAAATTAGACCTAGGAATTTACTACAGTGATTCCTATACATCTCGTGTACAGACCATGGTTTGTGAATGGTGAGTGAGCTCTGTCAAGTAAAGTCAAGCTACCTGCCAGAGGCCACATAGGCAGTGATGGCGAGAAGGCCCTGCCACAGAAAAGTCCCTTTAGTGAAAGTCTTCCCACATAGCTCTTAGGGTGTGAAAGTTTCAAACGTGTTTGAAAAAATGGTGTATGTATATATGGTCTTTGTTTGTTTGATTTACTTTTTTTATTCACTTTACATCTCAATATCAGCTCCCACTCTCCTCCCACTCTCCTCCCACTCTCCTCCCACTCTCCTCCCTCTCTCCTTATGTAGAATCTGACGCCTGCCTGTGGATCCTGTTCCCCTAAATGAACTGCCTGTCTGGTCTCAGTGGGAGAGGATGTCCCTAATCCTGCAGCCACCTGATGTGCTGGGGGATGTACAGGAAGGGTGTAGTGGCTCAGAGGTGTTACTTAGAAGGTGGCTCTCCCTTCTCAAAGGAGAAGGAGAGGGAAGAATGGGGGGAATCTATGTGAGACTGGCAGTTTTGAAATGTCACAAAATGTTGCCTCCAGTGACTGCCTGAAACGCAGTATCAGTAAGAATCATCTGTGTGAGACAGAACGTGGCAGGTCACAGAATCCGTAATTAAGGCACACCACTGTCTGGTACTCTGCTTGGAACATTTGACGTGTTCATTTCACACCTCAGTGAACTTCTTTGAAGCATCTGTGGTTGTAAACACCCAAGCCTCTCATGCATAGACCCAGACAAATACACTGAACCCATGAACTGCACTCTTGCTCAGAGTAGCGATCCCTGCCTGCAATCCAAGCATTCAGGAGCCCAAAGTGTTCCAGGCCAGCCTACTATGAGATCCTGCCTTGAGGAAGGGAGGGAAGGGGGGAAGAAGGAAGGAGGGGAGGGAAGAAGGAAAAACATAAATCTTCATTGCAGATACTTCAGAAATAATTTTGAAGATCCAGACACGGTGGCTATTTTAGTTACTTTTCTATTGTTGATATAAAGCACCATGACCAAGGCAATTTATAAAAGAAAGCATTCACCTGGGCCTACAGTTTCCCAGGGTTATAATCCACAGTGATGTTGCAAAGGCACAGTGGCAGGAACAGCTGCACTCACAGCCTGATCCACAAGCAGTAGGCAGGGTGCACTGGGGACGGTGGGACAGTCTTCAAAACCTTCAGCTGTCCACAGTGACATGCCTTAAGCTGTCCACAGTGACATGCCTTAAGCTGTCCACAGTGACATGCCTCCTCATCTTTCCCAAACAGTTCCACCAACTGGGGACCAAATATTCAGACATGTGAGCGTATGGAGCCTCATTCAAACCACCACTATGGAATCTCAAAACTTGGGAGGTAGAGGCAGGAGGATCAGAAGTTCAGCGTCATCTTCAACTATGTGAGTGAGTGTGTGTGTGTGTGTGTGTGTGTGTGTGTGTGTGTATTCAAGACCAGACTGAGCTTTATCAGACTCTGGTAGAAAACACAAAAGGGTTAACAGGATGGCTCAGTGGGTAAAGGCATTTGCCCCCCAAGCCAGACAACCTGAGTTAAACTCCTGGAACCCACATAAAGGAAGAAGAAGAGCCCAGACTCCACAGTGTGAGAGCTACCATTCATACACATATGTCATATATACATACAGGCACACACAGATGATGATGATGGTGATGATGATGATGATGATGATGATGATAAATGTTTAAAGAAAGAAATCATTTCAGAAATAGATACCTATACATGTTTATTCACAGAAAATGCCAGTTAATGGCTTTAATATTGACCATGGTTATCAGAGTTCACAAAAAAAGCATAAAGTGCAAAAGGTCTGTAAATCTCCCCAGAGCTATGATTAATGTTGCTTCAGCCAGGGTACAAACCACCTGTACATAGCACACTCTACACAAAGTATAAAGCACAGTGTATATCTAAAAATACCTCCTTTGCTTGGTTTAATGATTGTGGTTATAAAATAGTTTTAAATCTGACTTGATGTGTAGGAAAAGACACAAGCCATGTTTTAAAGTCTGTGGAAGAATAATGTCTATAAAATCTATTGAGAATCCCAATCTGGCCAAAGATGTGTCATTGGCCAGTGGGACCAAGAGACCCAGGTCAAACCCTGGTTGGGAAGAACCCAAGTTCAGCTGGAGAAAGGAGCTGAGGGAGGCCCTAGTTGGCTGTCCCCAGAGACTGTCAGTTGTCAGACCTGAGGGAAAAAAGAGCCAGGGAAGGTTCAAATCCCAGTGCTGGCTCTGGGAGAGGGTTGGGAGAAGAGGAAGATTCAGACACCTGAGAAATCCAACCAATAGAATGGGTGGCAGTATTTTTACAGAGCAGTGTTTTACACAACACTGTTGACCCGTGACTGGTGTAGGCACTTTTCACCATATAGACACCCATTCTCCCACGTGGATCACATTATGAATGAAAGCAGACAGAAAGAACACTTCTGAAGAGCTGGCTTTGGCATCACCGGGCACTAAAGAGAGAAGAATTCTCCTAAAAATCAACAATGGATCAGAACTGTGAAATCACTGACAGACATGACCACTTGGTAACATCCATGGCTTCCTCTGTCCTGAGATCTCAGGCAGACTCGGAACAGTGGCTATGACATCACTCGTCAATGTCATCTCCACTGGAAGGGAGCAGATTCAGGAGTGCACATCAGTTAGCGGGCTCTGCTTGCCGTTACCGCTCTCAACACAGTAGCATCCATGAAGTCAGAGCTTTACCAGCTGTTCACTGTGACTCAGAGATCCAAATGTGAAGTGTTATACTGCAAAGCCAAAATCAGTTCATGTCTTAGGAGCCTCTCAAGTCAGCCTTCATGGGAAAGGTAACTCCAGTGGTGAGCTCAGAACCCAGACGTCAGCGTAGGAGAGAAGGCTAGCTCTCCATGAAAACACGAGTGTGTGTTCCATTCAAGGATACATGGCCTAATTAACAGCTCATTGTAGCTGTAGTGGGGCAGAAAGGATAGGAAGGAAACACACCTCAAAGCCAAAATATTGGCCATGGATGCTCTAAGGCAAGAGAGGTAGAGTAACTTTTCTGTAGTGTCCCAATTTTCTTTGAACATGTAAAGCTTTAATGAAAAAAAAAAGTGATCAATGACCAAAGCCCAGCTCAAAATTAGATTCATATATATCTACTCCCTTGATCAGTCAGGCCCCAGCTACCAAGCTGTAGAGATTTCTGTTTAAGATGGGTGTGGTACCTCGATTCTATAGCTATACCTAGCAGTTGGGGGGTCTCACTATCAGTTTGAGGCTAGCCTGGGCTCTATAGTAAGTATTGATACCAGCTTGAGACATGAAAAAGAGCAAAGCTCTGTCTCAGATGGAAGGGGGGAAAAAGTTCTGTTTGTCCCCAAACACACTCCCTTCCAAGCCAGCTACGGTGCCACATACCTGGGGAAGTGGCCCACTGAATCCAGTCAGGTGCTCAGTTCCTTTCACACAGTCATGTCCAAGCACATCCATCAATATTCTGTCCCTACACCTAGGAGTGTTAGCAGGGGCCCTAGGGAATAAGTCCTTCTCCAGATAAAAAGAAGTGGTTCTTTCCTGACTTTGAGGACACCACCACTGTCACGGAAGGGCCCTCGGGACAAACTAAACCTTGCATCTCAAAACCCTTTCCTACAGCCATCTTACTAGCGTATTCATTTGTTACTTTACATGCACGAACGTTTCGCTTGCTTGTATGGATATCTGTACCACATGCATGCTCTGTGCGCTTGGAAGTCAGAAGAGGACATCAGATCCCCTGGGACTGGAGTTACAGGTTATGAGCTTCATGAGCATTGTGGGAATCAAATCCAGGTCTTCGTGGAGAGCAACATGTGTTTTTAACTACTGAACCAATTCTCCAGTCCCAGATGACCCTTCCAGATGAAGGCAGCTAGGAGTCCTCTTCAGGACATTTATATCGTGTAGAATATACAAGAGCAGCCCCTGTGCCTGGTAAGATGAACTGACAAGAAGGATAGTTTGATTTTGCCCTCTAAAAATTCTAAACTCAAAAATCAAAGGACTCAGCAGCAATTCTGGCCCACGAACCCCTAGGTTGTCACAAACATTTAACTCAAAATCATTTTAAATATATTTTAAGCTACAGCAAACTAACATATACAATCATTCAAAACCAAATATTTCTGCCTTGTAAATATCACCAAGCAAATGACCGTGTGTTTGCTACCTGGGAGATTTAGTAAATGCTATATAGATTTAATAAAAGACAACTTATTTCACATATTTGTGGTCTATAAATATTTGTGACTACAAACAAGAAATAGCCCAGTAAGTTACTTCTAAAACTTCAAAGCCACAAAAAAGCAGAATGAAGTCTATTCATCTAAAAACTCTAAGTCCAGTTTCCACTTTGGACCCTGTGAAGGTTCTAAACAGAGTAAGAGTTCCTGGAAGTGCCAGAACCAGCTAGCTCCCTCTGACTCTGGACACCTCTCAGAACAGTGTTCTAACTCCAATCCCCTGGGCGTTGTCCCACCCCCCACCCCCACCCTCCACCCCCGACAATGGGATGTCAGAAAGCAGAAGGTGCCTGAGTACAAACATCCCTGAGATACCCCATTCCACTTCATATCCTGAAGATAGCACAGTGAAGACATTACGATGCAGGTGAGAAACATTCATGTCAGAGCCTGCCCCTTCCTACCTGTGACCCCCCAGCTAGCCAAACAAAGTGCTCTGAAAAACCAGTTAGCACCAGGTATTATAAAAACAAAAGCTAGAGAACCACACCCCAGGGAGGCTATATCCCCAGGAGGCCCACATCCCCAGGAGGCCACGTTCCCCTGTAGGTCCACATCCCGGGAAGCTACATCCCTCAGGAAGCGCACATCCCCTAAAAAAAGCAGAGAAATGGGGTCAGAGTTTTGGAGGTAACAACACACTGAAAGCTTCCAATAAGAAATGCTTCCCTAAAGCTTCACAGGAGCTCCACAATCAAACCCCCAGAGGCCTTGCTCTCACAGAGATCAAGGGGCAAGCAGAGGGGGCTGTGTGTGCAGTCTTCAGACCAGAAGGAATCTTTGTGGGTCTGAGGCTGCTGCACTCTGGAAGAGCAGAAATAATGTCAATAATGTGTGCTTTAAGTGGAGTGTAGTTTTTGGCACAGAGGGTGTTACTGGCTTTGCCCTCTGAAGCCGAGGCTCCATCTCTCAGCAGAGGTAGTGGAAGGAGCCACAAGCACATGGAGAACCTGGGAAAGCTAAGAGGTTCGAATTACAAGCCACCCGCCTTAGCCACAGCCCCCACGTGTGTTTGCCCACTTGGTTTTGTTGAAGGACAGTTTCTCCCAGCAAAATGAAAAGTTCTGGAACCTTCCATCACAAACTCAGAAGGTCTTGTATATCAGGGGGCTGACTCCTGTGTAATGAGAGAGCCTGGAAATGGTCAGATCTACAGCAAGAAACTTTGGGCTGCCCTAGGTCTCCCCAAAAACCTACTCTGTCAATGTCATTATGGACTTAACACAGCAAGCCCGTGTGTCTGGGGAGGAAACTGAGGAAGACATACTTATGTCCCTGAGCCCTCCATTTCCCAACCTGGGGAAGTCAGGCACAGTGGTCCAGTTAGATCACAAAGGAGCAGAATTTTAAACACCCACATCACACCGATTCCTCAATCCCCTTGGCCATCTTTGCTAGCAAACGAAGCCCAGCACACGCTCGCATAGAAGTGAGTAGAGAAGACGATCACTGCCTTGCCATCACGTGATCTTGACTGGCGACTTCTTGTGGGCACATAGGAGAGACACATAGGGAACACCGATAAAAGCCCATTTCTCGCTGGGCCAGAATCTGATGACTGGACCTTGTTCAGGTATCTCTGAGGCAGCATCAAAGTAGGCGAAGCACACACAGCCCAGATATGCAGCAAGGCAGATGAGGATATGCCTGCAAGAGAGGGGAGAGGTGAGCCTGGTGCAGTGCTTCTCCCTGGGGCCACCCGTCCTTCCCGCTGTCCCTTTCATCCATAGGGCAAGTAAAACAGGGAAAGGATGGGATAACTAGCAACACCAGAGGGGTGACACCTTGAGCACTTGAGCCTGTATTCAAAACAGTATGGTAGCTCAGATCTGTAACCCTAGTACTCTAGGGGGCCAACTCAAGACAAGTATCACTAGTCCAAGAGTACACTGTGAGTTCAAAGCTAACCAGAGCCACAATTTTAAAAAAAGATAGATAGATAGATAGATAGATAGATAGATAGATAGATAGATAGATGATAGATAATTGGAACAAATACCTTTGGGGCCTTCTCAGTAAGACTGAGGGCCCAGGATGAAACTAGAAATGCCAAGGTGGAAACGGGTGAACCCAGAATTAGATCTTGAGACCCTTAGCAAGATGTACGTACAGCTCGTGCTTCTCATTGGAAATTAGCCTGTATTAAAGTATGTTCGAAGCTTTACTTTGAAAATCCTTTTTATTTCTAAATTATCTTTACCTGTCTAAGGTTTCAGTTTTGGGCCTTTATCAGGAAATAAATCCTGGTAGTGGTGTTGCATGCCTTTAATCCCAGCACTCAGGGGACAGAAGCAGGCAGATCTCTGAATTTGAGGCCAGATAATTCTGGGACAAACAAGGCCATACAGAAAACCCCTCCCTATCTTGAAAAACAAAACAAAAATCAATTGATCAAACAAACAAACAGAAAGAAAAGACAAGAAAAAAAGAAAAAAGAAGAAAGAAGTCTTTTAAAGGGGGACAGATTCTTCCTTATACACTATACTGAAAGCTTATTCCAAATGAATAAGGCTTAAAATACAGACCTGTGAGGTGAAGTGATTGCCACCAAGTCTGACGGCCGAGTTCAATCCCCAGAACCCACAAGGTATAAGGAAAGGGCTGACTGACTCCCAAAGGTTGTTCTCTGACATCCAAACATGTACTACGGCATGCTCATGTCCGTGTGTGTGTGTGTGTGTGTGTGTGTGTGGACAGATTAATAAATAAATGTGAAAAATTCATTACTTTAAACATATTTAGAATATAATTTTAAAATGGTTCACTTTATAGGTGTGTGTCCTGTGTGAGTGTATGGACAGCTGTGCAGTACTTGCAGCAGCCACCAAAGGGTGCAAGATTCCCCTGGAATGAGCACTGCAGGTGGTTGTGATCCACTCAACCTGGGTGCTGGAACTGAACTACAGTCATCTATAAGAAAAGCAAGCGCTCTTAATGGCTGAGCCATCTCTCCGGCACCTATGCTTGTAATATATACCCCCAAAACTATATTTTTATATACCCCCAAAACTATAAACTTTGATGAAAGAGGCTTGTCTACGAATGGCACAGAAACCAGTCAAGAAAACCCAGACACATGTGATAATTCAAAATGAATACAACACAAAAAAAAATATTCACCTGCTTTATAAATAAATAAATAAATAAATAAATAAATAAGAAAGAAACTATCTGTCCTGGGCTGGAGAGATGGCTCAGCGGTTAAGAGCATTGACTGCTCTTCTAGAGGTCCTGAGTTCAATTCCCAGCAACCACATGGTGGCTCATAATCATAGCAATGGGATCTGATGCCCTCTTCTGGTGTGTCTGAGGACAGTGATGGTGTATTCACATATAATAAATAAAATCTTTAAAAAAAAAAAAGAATGAAAGAAAGAAAAGAAGGAAAAGAAAAGAAACTATCTGTCCAATGTGATAGACCTGAAACTTACAATACCCCAAAATGTTAATCATTATAAATGTTGTGTGAGCTTTGCTTTAAAATGGGGTTGGATGAAGAACAAGAAGGAAAGCAGTAGAGACAAGACCTGGCCTCCAGGGAGAACCACAAGCTGAAGTTGGCACACATGGTGGCTTCATATATTGTGCTTTAAAAACCTCTTCAACTTGGGTACAGTGGCATACCTTTAATTCCAGCACTTAGGAGGAAAAGGCAGTTGGATCTCTGTGAGTTTGGGGCCACCAATCAAGTCTACAATCAAGTTCCAGGCTAGCCAGCGCTACGTAGTAAGACCCTGTCTCAAAATAATAATTATTAACTAATAAGTAATTAATTAAAATTTGCATTACAAATAGCCATTGCAGATAAAAACATTAGGATATCAGAAGGCATACTTTGAAAGAGGAAATATGGCGAATTGTAAAGATTCTAGTTAAATTACATCCTAGGGCTGGAGAGATGGCTCAGGAGTTAAGAGCACTGACTGCTCTTCCAGAGATTCTGAGTTCATTCAATTCCCAGCAGCCACATGGCAGCTCACAGCCATCTATAATGAGATCTGATGCTTTTCTGATGTGAAAGACAGGTACATATGCATAAATACTCATATGCATAAATAAATCTTAAAAAAATTAAATTATATCCTAAAACCACCATTCAGATTATGTTTTTAAAGATATCCAGTGGCACTGTCTTTAAAGACATAAAAATAAAAACACATCTTTTTCCCTATCAGGTAGCAAAGCTTTAAAGCAGTTAATAATGCCCATGTGTGTGAGCATGTGGGCTGAGCATCCTAACAGACTGCAGTAAAGGGATCGAAGAACTGGACTAGAAGTGGCAGACACTTGCCTAGCATTCATGATGACCAGCACTGCCAACACAAACAAGTCTGTTATGGTGGCACGTGTCTGTAATTCCAGACTTGGGAATGCGTAGTGAATGTGAGGCCAACCTAGGATATGTAAAACTCTCTCACACAGGAAATAGACAGCTGGGCATGGGGGCACAAGCCTTTCATCTTAGCATTGGGAAGAAAGGCGGCCAGTTCTCTCTGGATCTGAGCCAACCTGGTGTGCACAGTGAGTTCTAGGCCAACTAGTACTACATAGTGAGACTGTATTTTAAAACAAAACAACCCCTCCCCCACACACACAAGTATAATAAGACGGATAAGATAAAATAAGGTCTTACTCTAATCCAGGCTGCCCACTTGCTTGCGATCCCCCGCCTCTAAGATTATGACCCGGTTCTAGTGCTCAGTTTATGCAGTGCTAGGGATCAAATCCCTATGCGAGGCAGGCACTCTGCCAACTAAATCACATCCCCAGTCCTAGACCTTATAGTCTAGAAGTCTTAGAAAAAAATAGAAAAATATGTTGCTATCTTACAATTTATATTCCAATCTAACCTATGAAGATTAGAATCAATATATATGGGTTTTTTTTTTTACAGATTATTTACAAAAGTGAAAAATTAGAAATGACAGAATATGGAGGTCAGGAGATGGTTTAGTGAAAAAAGAAAGCTCTTGTTCTGCAAACACAAAGACTCGAGTGCAAAAGTCCAGTGAGAAGCTGAGTGTGCCTGCAACAGATCCTAAGAGCTTGCTGGAGAGCCAGCCTAGCTGAGAAGGCAAATTTCTGGTTCAACATCTATCAGTTTAATATCTGATACATCCTCTATCGGGCTGGAGAGATGGCTCAGTGGTTAAGAGCACTTACTGCTCTTCCAGAGGTCCTGAGTTCAACTCCCAGCAACCACCTGGTGGCTCACATCCATCTATAATGGGACCTGATGCCCTCTTCTGGAGTGTCTAAAGATAGCTACGGTATACTCATATACATAAATGGACATGATCTAGATACAGAGTTATCTGACATTTTAATCCTCCAATAGAACATCATTATCTACAAACACGTCGGGTCATATTCATAACTATCCTGTGTGGCATGTGAGTGCATGTGGGCCTGGGGCCACTCACTGGCTGGACATGCCTCACAGGAGTTTGGCTTAAGACAAGACTAAGTTTGCGTTACATATAGAAAGGTGCCATTGTAGCTTTCTAGAAATAGAATAATTCGTGGGTACATGGCTGTGGATAGATGGAAGACATAAAGTTTTTTATTGTTGTGGGATTTTTGTTTTTTGGGGGGAGGTTGGGGTTTTGGTTGGTTGGGTTTTTTTTTGTTTGTTTTGTTTTTGTTTTGGGGGTGTTAAAATTATTTAAGTATGAGTACACTGTAGCTGTCTTCAGACACACCACAGAAGAGGACATTAGGTCCCATGACAGATGATTGTGAGCCACCATGCAGCTGCTGGGAATTGAGCTCAGGACCTCTGGAAGAGCAATCAGTGTTCTTAACCCCTGAGCCATCTCTTTGGCCCTTTTGTTTTGTTTTGAGATGCTGTCTAACTATGTAATGTGGCTGGCCTAGAAGTCAGAATATAGACCTGATTAGCTTCTGATTCACAGACGCCAGCCTGCCTCCACCTCCTAAATGTGCTGGTAAAGGTGTGTGCTGCCACACCTGGCTGTTCTTTTCTTCTTCATTTTTCATTATCAATAAAGGAGAAAAAAATTTCAGGAAATGGGTATGTATATAATAAAATCTGCAAAGATATACTTCAGGTTGTCAATTATCCTTCTTTAGGGAGTAGAATTATGAGAGCCATTTTCTATATCTCTATGTTGTTTAAAACTATTATTCAGCTGGGCAGTGGTGGCGCACGCCTTTAATCCCAGCACTTGGGAGGCAGAGACAGGTGGATTTCTGAGTTCGAGGCCAGCCTGGTCTACAGAGTGAGTTCCAGGACAGCCAGGGCTACACAGAGAAACCTTGTCTCAAAAAACCACACACACACACACACAAAAACTATTATTCAAAAATGACTTCATGGGGCAGGAAAGATAACTAACTGGTTATAGCACTTGCTGGTCTTGTAGGGGACTGGAGTTTGATTCCTAGCACCTCTAGAGTGGCTTACATCTGGCTGTAGCTCCAGCTTTAGAGGCTCCAACTCCTTCTTCTGGCCTCCTCAGCAGTCAAAACTCTCGTGTATATATAAAATTAAATTTAAAACAATTAGTTCATTCATCTGGCAAAATGGCTAGGTGGGTAAAGGCACTGGCCTCCAAGTCTGAGGATGTGTTAGATCCCTGGCATCCACGTGATGGAAGAAAGGAACAAATACATGAGTACACACACACACACACATACGTGCACGTACGTGCTCACACAGGCTACCAAACACCCACCCTACATGAACATAATGACTTCATAATGAAGAAGAAAAGACAGTTCAACCTACACAGCAGATACCATGAGTGAACACGTCAGTTTGTGCTGCTTTGTTTGATTTTAGTCCTTTGAATGTGGTCCTAGAAGCCCCCAAAACTTACATTTCCCACAAACAGGGTCCCACAGTAAATTCGCCCAAGCTTGACCAAGGCCACGCCTACGCTTGGGTACATATGTTGCGTTCTTTATTCTTTACTGAGTGCTGCATTTTCTCTTAGCCCTCCTACTTAAAAGTCTACATTAAAGTAAAAGTCCACATTAAAGTCACTCCCGATCTCCAAACTCCAGTTCTGTATGAACACTCAAGCTGAAGTCCACTGGGGTAAAGAATTTCCTGTTTGGGGTGTGTGTGTGTGTGTGTGCGCGCGCGCTGTCTGTGTCTACGCCTGTGTGTCTGTGTGAAGGACCTCACAGTGTAGTCCACACTAACCTGAATCTTATGGTATTACGCTTCTCCCTCCCTCAGCTTCTCAGGCGCAGTGATGGCAGGTGTGAGCCACCATACCTAGTTTGTGCTGGGACCTCTACATCTCAGAAGATGACTCTGGATAAACAAAGCCCTATAGAATTCCTCCCTGGATCCTGCTAATCTGCCAGGACATAAGACAACCATTTCTCTTGCTCGCTGCCAGCTTTTGTACTTAGCAGTCATGAGGACAGAGACAGAAACACTGCCTTGTCCTGGGTTTGAAGCAGAAGCAGTTCCTAGGAAGAAAGCTACTCCCCAACTCCATTCTCTCCTTTTTGGCTAGAGTTTGAGGCCAAGGGCTGCATGCCAGGCACTGAGCCACCTTTCCCTGGCCCTCCCTTGCTTCCTCCCCTTCCTGGGTGTGGATTCTGTATGCGATTTTGTAGCCTCCACTTTCCCTCCTTTGAAGTTTAGAGCCATTCCAGGCTTCCCAAAATAGAGATACTCTATTCCCTCATGATCAAACAGTGACGTTCAATAACAGACTTCAGTCCCCCAGGCTTTGTCTGTAGCTGTAAAAAGAATCGGTGTGACTGTCCCTAGGTGACCTTCAAAGTCCAAGCTTTCACCTGGCCTCGAGGGCCCTGAGGGCGTGGTTCCTCCTGAGAACGAGCCTGTCCTCACATCACATAGGCCCCAGCTCCCCTACACCCCCCACCCCTTTCAGACGGGGGAACTCAAGTTGCAGGCTCAGTTTTCAGGCTCTCCTAGTACAATGAAAGAGCTGCCAACCCGCTGTGCAGCGAAACAATTAGGTCTTTGGGAGGGTTTGCTTTGGCTAAACCAGCTCCCTGGAGCCATTTTCACACTCTACCTTACTTTCGTTTCTAAAATGTGTGACTTGGGAGAGGAAGGGAAAGAAGGGTCGGCTCTGTGCCCCTCCCCTGAACCCACCTGTGCTCCTGGCAGGGAGCACTTAGCCCTGGAGCCGAGCAAGGACGCTAGCAGCAATGCCAGCTCCGCAGGGCAGGAGCACCCCGGGACAAGAGCACCCCAGGGCAGGAGCACCCCAGGGCAGGAGCTTACCACACACAGTGCAGATAGGGAAAGTGAAAGGAAGACAGCAGCTCACAGAAGGCTCGGTCACTGATCCAGCAGAAGAGAGCCAGAGTCCACCAGAGGCCTGAGAAGAGGCCCAGCTTAAACACACGCACATTGTCACACCTGCGAGGAAAAGGAAGGGAGAGTCAGTTCTGGTCTCCACGGGGTTTGCTGGCTACCTCCCCTGGGTCTTCAAAACTTCTCATTGGCTCCAGCTCACGGCACTGGCCTCATACTGAAGACAGCCTCATAGATGTAAATATCACATGTATGCACGTGATTCGATAACCTTCTCCACACAGGCCCTGCCTCTAACTCCAGATACATAGAACCATCTACCATCTTGAGAGGGTACCCTGATATCTAATGAAGATATAAAATACAAGCTCATCTTCCCTCCTGCCTGTAGACTCCGCATCCAGTTTCTTAGCTCTTCCTTCAGACTCCACCTCAAACCTGCCCTCTGGCCATGTAGGTCCAGGTCCCCAACATCTTCTCCTCCCTAACACTCTCACCTTTGACCTTGTAGTCAACTGGCAATGCTCTGCTCCAAAGCTTTAATGTGGTTGGGGGGGGGGGGCTGGCGCACACCAAACCATAGCATTCAGAGGGGCCACAAGGCCCCATACGTGGGCTCCCTCGCCTTTTTTTTTTTTTTTAATTTTCTCTCCATACTTTGGCTCCCACTGTCTTTGTTCAAACCATGGTAGATTTTTACTGTTCCTCAAACCCCCCAGGTCTTAGCACAAATGGGCCCTACAGCCTTCCTACTTGCTTTGCCTCTGACTAGAGTGTTCTGCCTTCACATAGCCATGTAGTTCACTTGTCTTCAAGTGTCTGCTCAGCATCACCCGGGTAGCCTGCGTTGACTTGAATGAGACCAGCTCATCAGCTCATTGAATGAACACTTGGTCCCCAGTTGGTGGTGCTGTCTGGGAAGTTTAGAAGATGCAGCCTTGTTAGAGTTAAGAATGTCACCGGAGGCAGGCTTTGTGAGTTTAAAGATTCATGTCATTTTAAGTTTGCTCTCCCTGCTTCCTGTGAGCTCTGATCCTGCCACCAAGCTTCCTGTCATAATGACAACGAACTCTTATGCCTTAGAACTGTAACTGCCCCCACCCACGGGCTGGACAGATGGCTCAGTGGTTAACAGCACTGACTGCTCTTCCATAGGTCCTGAGTTCAATTCCCAGCAACCACGTGGTGGCTCACAATCATCTGTAATGGGATCTGATGCCCTCTTCTGGTGTGTCTGAAGACAGCTACAGAGTACATGTCATTCATATATATATTAAGTAAAAATCTTTAAAAAAAAAAAAAACTGTAAGCTCCAACATACCCTTCCTTCTAGTTGCCTTGGCTTTCCACATACTGGTATGACCCTATTGCTAAAGACAACACATACATGACTCACAGAACACAGAGAAGTTAAGCTAGTGCCTACCTACAGCCTCACTCCTATGACTGGAGATAAACACCAACCCAATTACAAAGGCTTCAGTTGCTGAGTCTGCCATGACCTTGGTAGGGACAGAATGACCTGGTAGGGAGAAAGCCAGCAGACATGAGCCTCCGCAAGCATCGATGGCTGAAGCATGGATGGCTGCTGCAGGCAGAAGGCTTGTTTGTATAATAACATACGTATTTTCACATTCCTCCAAGGAGTGTCCTCCCTGTAAATGTTAATGACTCGATGATAATCAAAGACAGCATGAGTGTGGGAGGTGAAGGTGTGCCTAATGTCTCAGCAGTGTGGTAATTGCTGGGACCTTCAGGACGGCCCTTAAGGCTGTGGAAAAGAACTCTAAAAACATGAGTTTGAAAATATATAATTTATCAATTATGCATAAATACAAGGAAAGGATGCAATATGAATTGTATGAGGGGCTTCAAAGATCTAAAAGAACACAGGCAGCTGCACTATGAGCCAGATGTCAGAAAGATACAAAGTAAGGAGATAAAAGAGATTTAGGGGGTAGTGATCAGGAGACACGATTCCACCCAGATAAGAGTTTTTAATTTATGCTTACAAATGCAGGCAGATTCCTGAGTTCAGGATCAGCCTGGGACAGAGCTACTTTAGGTCTATGTGTGGTCAGAATGGTAATCTCAGGACAAAGTCCTACCCAGCTTAATTTTCAAAGGCAGGCAGATCTTTGGATTCTTTTGCAATGTTAAAAAAAGAAGAAGGAGAAGAAGGAGAAGGAGGAGGAGGAAGAGGAGGAGGAGGAGGAGGAGGAGGAGGAGGAGGAGGAGGAAGAGGAGGAGAAGGAGAAGGAGAAGGAGAAGGAGAAGGAGAAGGAGAAGGAGAAGGAGAAGAAGAAGAAGAAGAAGAAGAAGAAGAAGAAGAAGAAGAAGAAGAAGAAGAAGAAGTCGGCGGCGGCCGGGCGGTGGTGGCGCACGCCTTTAATCCCAGCACTTGGGAGACAGAGGCAGACGGATTTCTGAGTTCGAGGCCAGCCTGGTCTACAGAGTGAGTTCCAGGACAGCCAGGGCTATACAGAGAAACCCTGTCTCAAACCCCCCCCCCAAAAGAAGAAGAAGAAGGAGAAGGAGGAGAAGGAGAAGGAGAAGAAGAAGATGTACTTGCTGTCTTTTTCCTAAGAGGCTAAAGGAAACCTGGAATAAATAACTGAATTAATATGTAAATAAAAAAAACTGGGTTTCTGTCTTCATGAGATGGGCTAGCAGAAAGCAGTAGCAGTTCTTTAGAATTTTCCCTAGCAAGAGCTGAACTGTCTGGAGAGCGAGTGAATGCAGGTCTTTAAGATTTTTTTCTAACAGGATTTCTTATTTTAGTCGGGAACCCATGGAGAGAGAACACAGCTCTTTTCGAATTTTTCATAAGTCTTTTAGAATTTTTTCTAATAGGATTTCTTAGTCAGAACTCCCAAGAATTACTTAGAAAGTAAGCATGGCCCTTTTAGAACGTCTTTCTAGCAGCTATCTAGAGAAGGCAATCTCAAACTCTTTTGAAATTCTTTTGGCTTTCTGATTTTGATTTTAGAATCAAAATTTTGATTTTCTGATTTTTGATTTTAGAATTTTTCTAACAGGATTTCTGACTTGGTTGGAAGATCCCAGAATTTTTTTTATAGCAGATTGTCTGAGGTCAGAAAAGCCATGAGCTACCCAGAGGGCTTTTAGAATTTTTACTAGCATAGAGAGCTAGTAAAGTTAGCTATCTCAGCCAGAGAGTTTTTAGAATAGCAAGAGAAAGCCTAGAACTTTAGTGGGTTGATCTGATGCTGCTTGTATTGTAATGCTAAGTATGGGCCCCCAAGACCAGAAGTCTGCGTGTAGCCCCTGTGACCCTGCCCTCAAGTTAGTTCTGATTGGTGAATAAAAATGCTGACAACCAATAACTGGGTAGAAGTGGCATAGGTGGGGCTTAGGTTTCCCAGGCTTAGGAGAGAAGAATGTGTAGAGAGGAGGAAGGAAAAACCACCATGGGTTAAGGGTCAGGAGGGCGTGGCCCTGAGGGCTGCCCAATTGGAGTTAAGAGCAGCCCAGATGGACCATAGTAGATATTAAGTAATAACTCCAGGTTATCGATAGGAAAGTAGATTCTAACAGCATGGAGGGTAGGCAGCTGTCTAGCTATTGTGCTATTTAGGTCTTATTGTAAATATAAAGGCTTTGAGTGTGTCTTTCATCTTTGAACTCAATAACCAAAGGCAGGGTAGAAACTCCAGACCGGGCTGTAATAATGTCCACAACATAAGCAGAGCAGAACACAACAGTCTGGAAAGTGATCTCAGCCCAGACCCAAGATTTGACTTCAAGTTGTTTGTTTTCACTGCTCCCAGACACCCCTTTCTCAGAACCCCTCTCCAAGCTGAGGCTGGTCCTTGGCAGGAATCTACAAGAATGACCTGTCTGCAAGATATGCTGGTGTAATTGTTAGCAATCAGGCACATCCAGGAACAACTGAAAGAGACTCTGAGACAATGCTAACAATCAGACATCTTCACAGCCAGCTCCCAGGGACCAGTGACAACAAGACACATCACCACTAGCTACCCAGAGGTGACACATTGTTGCCCCTGTCACATGTCCTCTTGTGCATGTGCCAAGGCCCCGATTAAAAGCCATGTTTTCCCTTCCCCCATCCCTTCTTTCCTCCTCCCCCCACCCCCCCACCCCCCAAAACCAAAGGTAGCCTCTGTACCTCTTCCTCTTAATAAACCTCCCACGTGAGATCTGATGCACAGTGTGACTTGTTCAAACCTGCCACCCAGTTCCATCAGTAATAGTGGCACAAAGCATGTGGAGTAACCAACCAATATCTGATTTAAGACCCACTCCATGAGATGGAACCCATATCCAACAGTGCTTGGATGGCCAAGAATCTGAGACTACCTTGCCCAAGGACCTAGGGGAAAACCAAATACTACTTTTCTGCTAAAGAAACGAAACAATAAAATGACTCCTAGCTGCTATACTCAGAGTCCCTGTGTTGCTTAGCCAACATCAGAGAAGCTTCCTCAAGCAGCAATGCAAAGACACAGATACATAGCCCCACAGGCAGACAACACACAGAGATTGGGAGACCTGGGAACACTCAGCCCTAAAAGGGATAGCTCCATCAAATACACAGAGGTGGATAACTCTGTGGAAGAGAAGTCTAGAAAGACTGAAAGAGCTAGACGAGGTGAAGAATACCAAGGAAGAAAGGTCCTCTAGATCAACAAGACCAATGCATATCTGAGCTGACCAGAAGCAGCATGTACAGGGCCCACTCAGACGAGGCCCTCCCTAGAGCTGAAGTAAGCACACACACCCATCTCTAACCCAACAGCTCTCTCCAATTGATAGATGCTTGCACTGAGTTGTTTTGAGGTTTTGGCTTGGTTTGTTGCTGTTGTTGCTGTTGTTGTTGTTGTTGTTTGGAGTTTTTTTGGTTTTTGGGTTTTTTTTTTGAGAAAGAACTTAAAGTTACATGGGTGGGAATCAGGAGAGGGTCTAGAAGGACATCGGGGAAGAAAAGAATACAATTAAAATACACTTAAATTCAAAACTAGCTTTAAGTAAGAAAAATCTTTTAAAAAGAAAAATTAGTCTTCTCCAAGGAAGTCTCACTAGGGGACACACAGCACTCTTAAGGGTATGCCCCATGCCCA